GGAGCTATTGTAATTGGCTTTTTCTTTTCCTTTATATTAATAATTGTGCTAAAAACTTGTTTCAGAACTATAGCTATTTTTCTTGTTTCTTTATTTAATTTAATTAGTTCTTTTTGTATTTTATTGGATTATATTTTATTTTTACTTCTTTTCCTATAATGAAAACAATACCTACAATGAATGTTATCGTTATCGTTATTGTTAAAAAATTATTAACCCTTTAACTCCAACTTCAATTTTCTCCTAAACTACAAATCAAGTTCTGACTAAACTGCGAGTAAACTTGGAATTTGATATGTCTATTTTTTGTTATCCGTTCCTTGCCTTTTGTATTCGTAAATTTTACAACAAATCCTGGCTGCCGTTTTTTTGGTTTCCTCCTTAAAGATCAATTACAATGTTAACTTTTTCTTAATGATTTCTTTAAATCCTTTTTTTCTAAACTTTGTAAAGCTTTACACTATTTTTTAGGCTCGTACTAAGCACTTGGCTAACTTGTTTCGCCACAAAATGTAAACGGACTAACCACATTCACCGACTTTAACGCTTGAGTAGACATTTTAATCTGAAGTTTTTTCCGCACCTTCAATATGTGCGCTTCCCCTTGCCAAAGTTTTTTTTTCTTTTAAATTTGATACCTTTTTTGTGATTTACAAAAAAAAAAAAATATAACAAAGTGTTTTGGTAAGATTATTATTTATATATAATAGAAAAAATATATCCACATTTTTTTTTACTTCTCTACCGGAACTACAACTTTTTCCGTAAGATTTACAATTAAACTTTATTTTTTTTTTCATGGTAATATTTTTATAACAGAAACACCTGTGACATTTTTTTTTATTCAGGGTTAATGTGAATTTTAATACTTAATTGCTTACTAATAAAACACATCCTGATTAAAATATTTAAATTGATAATATTTTTTTTAATTTTAGACATGCATCCTGCTTTGCGTAGACCATCATACAATACCATTATTATGGTCAGACAAGGCATGGCTTTTACCAGGCATCTCAAACGCATCTATATGGATAAAGCGGATAATATTAAAGTACTAAAAATCTGCATTTACTTCTTTAAATCATTTATTCAATAATTCATGGTAGACATCCATATCAGCAGTTCATTAGGTTAATATATTTGATAGTGATAAAATCTAAAATCCTTTATTTTAAAGTTGGTGGCACAACTTTTCAAAACTCATCTGTTCGATGTGGAAATTATAGTTTTAACACCAGCACTTGACTTGCATTGATTGTTGTTGTTGTTTTTATTAACCATGTAGTTCAATGAAAGGAGAAAATTCAACGAAATGATGACCGATAACTGTACTGTCATTGTACTGTCTACATGAAGACCCTTCCAACCCACATTAGAAAAAGCCTACGTTTTTCACTGGGTTCCTTTGGTTCAGCGCGAATTTTCACTGACTAAATGTACAATCAATACGTAGAAAAGCATTTACATCAAACTGAAGAAAACGCTCCCCTAGGAGACGACAAATATCAAATAGACACATAGCTCCCTCTGAAATCACTTTGGAGGTGTTGAACGGTACTTGATCGCCAAAATTGACAAGTGGCTCAGGAACCTAAAGCGGGTTGTTCCTGGATACATTCTCTAGAAGTAGCCAGGTTCTCCTGACTGGATCCGGGTTGATTTCAATTTAAATTCTACCCATTAACAATCCAACCATTTTCCCTTTTTTCCTACCCCCAACCTTAAACCATTCCCATTCACTTTCTAACACACGCAGATTACAACAAACAACCAGTTGAGATAAAATGCGTCTATCCAAGATAGTACCTAAAAAGTAAAAACTCTGTTTGCAACAAACCTAAATTGCTTTTAGATAATTGTTAGTAGAGATGGGAACACCGTGTTGTACGTTACAACTGGTGATAACGATAACGAGGTGATAAAGCACACCATTAAATTTTTTTTTCGATTGGTAAATTTGGAGTAAATTTATTAATCGAGATTCACTTTTACTGCAATTTTATTTTCGTTTGGTAATTCTCGAGCGAAATGTATAACACTCGAGATTAATTTTTAACACTATCGATACTTTGCTAGAGTAGCACGATTATCATGAAGTAACAGCTGTTTTTTCTGACTTGATTTGATTCGATATATATATGTATAGAAAATAGAAATGCCTACTAACGCTAATACAAAAAAGTTAGATTACTCTAAAAATATATATATTGGGCAACAAAATTTTACAGATCGAGAGTTAATCCAGATTGGATCCAGCTAACGCAATTAGTAAGACCTTTCTTTACGGTATCATATTATTATTATCATCTATGATATTTTCATTATCTATATCATATGTATATGTTTATTTTATCTTTTTTTTTAAATAATGTATTACATGTTTTTTCTTTCAGTTACCACCAGAGCCTACTACTTGTTGTATGTCGGGTTGTGCTAATTGTGTTTGGATTGAGTACGCGCAAACCATATCTAAAATATTAGATGGCAATAGTGAAAAAGTGAAGGAAATTGTATTAAGCAAAATTACAGATCCAAATTTAAAAATGTTTTTGACTCTTGAACTCAGAAATCTACAAACGCAAAATCCTAACGCAACAGAGATTCCCAAACAGTCTTAGATTAATTCCCTTGTAATCAACCTGTTCTTAAACTTGCAATGATGATAGTGATAAATTATATATTTGTTTAAAATTTTTAGTGTATATATTTTAGATTTTTAATTTTTAAATAAAAATGATTTGAAATACTATTTGAACATTCATTTTTAATTTTAAGTACTACTTTTTTTTGACTATGTGATTATGAATCAAACATACTACATTGCAGTGTTTAATACTATGCACCAACTCGAGTTTATAATGTTGTTGCGATGGTTTCAGGAAAGTCTTGAAGATATTGAAGAGGAAGCGAGGAGAGAACAGAATTTAATGTCATTAAAAAAGAGATGAAATAGAAGAGAATAGAATAGAAGAATTATCATTCCTTAGGTAATTCGTCTTATGTAAACGGATTTAAAACAGAAATGAGTATCAACTAAACTTCTTCTAAATCTAGTAAATTTCCAAAAGAAAAAGCATCAAGTATTGACGCCGAATAATTGCTTATGGATCGTCACAATATCGAAATGAAGGCTCCATCGTAACAATGGCAACTTTTTTCAAGACGTTCCAATACTATAATAACGAATCAATACTATTCTAATGTGTAGGTCCTTTTAATAGTTTTGACTGGAGTAGAGTTTTGACTGGTTCTTCACAAATTTTATAATTACAAATAGGAAAATTTTCGTTCGTTATTAGGACAGTGGTTGTGAGTATTTGGAGATAAGAGCAGAAGATTAATTAAGGTGTTTGCCAGATTATGGACAATTATGTTATTATCTCTCAGATCTTTGTAGTGACATTTAGGAGATTAAAGAAGAGACTCCACTTTTGAGACTAAAATGTGGTCAAAATTTGTATATATATAAAAGAAATGAAAGAATAGTTCGGTGGAAGAATATTAAATATTTTATACTTGCTTATGAGTAATGCGTAGAGAGAAAGGGATTTAGGGGGAAATGAGTAATGCTGTAAAGAACTCATTTAGGAAACAATGTTCTAAAGTAATGTGGGTTTTAAAAGTTATAATTCTTGATTTTTATAGAGTTTTCTCTTAAATCTTAATAAAAAAAATACGTGATATTTCTCTCTCTTCTTGGACATGTGTTAAAAGTTATTTTTAATCATGTAAATGCTTGAACTGACTGAGACTATACCAGCTGTTTCGGAAACCTTTATTGGTTTCTTTATCTGTTTGTAATTTTTGAATTGTAATTGTATATATAATACATATAACGTGATTCCTTATATTAACACACGAATCTATCAATTGTATCAATTGTTCTATTGATCGTAACTGCTGTATTATTAATTAGCCCTAACGCATAAACAACAGCTATATAAATCAACTTAATCATTGCAAATTATTAAATTTCACTACTATATTTTATAGTATCTGAACAACTTTTTTATGGAAAATAGATTTCTTGTCATAACATAAATTAAATGTAGTTTTTAATTTGAAAATTGATATAATTTCTAATAAAATAAAATCCTGTACATACAGGTCTCACAGGACCTGTCTATATAACCGATTGTTATATAGAAATAATAAAAAATAGTAAATTCCAAAAAAGGAAATACACTATAAATAAATAAAAAAAAGAAAAACACAACATTATAGCAATCAGTTTGTATGGGATCACTACTTCGAATTAGATACGTAACCAGGGACAGGGCTTGCGACCTGAAACCTCTCGTAATAAATCGAATTATATTTGTCACTACATTTGAAAGTAGATTAAACTATCTAAATTTATGATGTAAATGGAGATTGATTGATCAAGTAGTTATAATATGAATGAATATAATATTTAATTGTATCTTTTATTTGAAAGAAAAGAATCTTGAAAGACGTAAATTGAATCATTTTATCTCTGAAATTTATACACCACCATATTTATTTTAACTAAATGGTTCATAAATAATATTAGAGATATTATTTAATGACTTTAGAGGTATAGTGTGAATTGTCATAAGATTACTTCTGCGAGTCGTTAATAAACTTAATAACAGTTGCACTATTTAAGGTATTAGTTAAAAAATTATACAATTACAATAAAAACCCTTTTGATAATATATAGTAGATGTTAACAATGCAGTTCTTCATTATCACTGTTCCCGTACATAATTATTTGATATATTTCCTTTTGGTTTAAAAAGTTATTTTATTTTCTATATATTATGATAACTTACAGAAAGCTGTAAATCCTGCTGGAAAATGTGGATCATTAGTGTAACCAAAAGGTAGTCCAGTCATACCCGCCGTTCCCGCAAAATTATTTTTGTTAAAATCATGTTGTGGAAAATTTTCGTAGACTGCACAATTTGATATTCTAAAAAAATTAAAATAATAAAAACAATTTTTAAAATAAAAGTTTTCATTAAGATCACAAAAAATTATCACACACACCTCTCATCACTGATAGATATATCAGGCGATGATATACTACCGCCATCGCTTTGATATGTTGTATCACAGATACTTGAATTTCTATTTTCATCAAAAACCTTATCAGTTCTTTCTTGCTCGGATACATTATCTTGATTATGAGACGCACTCTCGGTTAAACCGTTTTTTTCACTACATTCGAGATGACCATAAAGTCGTTCAAAAAATTGACGCGGCGATGATGGACGATTTAAAGTTTTACCGTCGGTGGCGGTATCCCGCGCGGTCAGCGATTGATTCGTCGATAACATTTTAAACAATATCCGAGTCCGTTTATGTCCGTTTAGTTCCGTTTATCACTTGCGAATGAGATTAAATACTTTGAATATTCCTTAATACACTCAACTGTGCTTAGTCAGTTCATTCCGATTTTGTTCTTTATCCTTCACATTTTTCACTTCCGCATCGAATCACTTACAGCGCGTGTATAACAATCATCTTCCGTAAACAGAAACTTAAGAAATGCTGCTTCTGATCCTTCCACTACGCCACGATGTATCCTTCGAGCAGTATTTGGAAGTGGTCAAGTTTGTGTGCAACGCATTGTTGTTGCTTTCGTTGTCGAAACTCTTGTTGCAAGTTACACCTACATTTGTGTGAACAGCAGCGTGCAGGGGTGAGGTATGAGCTAATAATTGTTATTGAAAAAAGTCTTCAAATATTTGAAGTGTAAAAAAATATGATGAAGACATTTTTTTTTATTGCGTTATCGAAGGATATTCATCCCCTGCACCTGTTCGCATGAGATAACCTAATTGCTGATTGTAAAAGGATTTGTTTTTTATGAGGAATTATGACATTTAATAGGAAGAAAAAGCTTTGTGATTGGTTGATTATTTTACAGGACATTTTTACCCTTAAATAGATATTTGTATGCAGCAAACACTGTAAAAAATTGTAAAGAAGAAACGCTTAAATAGATACTTGTGTGAAAAAAACACTGTAAAAAATTATGAAGAAAAAATGTAAGAAAATACTTTCATTAATTTTGTAGTAGTTAAGAAAGATATTTTTATACTCATTATATTTATATTTTAATTTAATTATAACATTGAAATAATTTATACTATTATTTTGATAAATTTTTTTTAAATTATTTATAAATAAATAATATTTATATTATTTATAAGCCAGCTAGAAATTGCACAAAGCTCTTCTCGTCTTCTACATTGCTTATCTCCGTATTTCGATATTTTCTATCGAATTTGAGTTCCGAAGTACTTGATTTCGCGGAATAAAACATTTAATTATTTTGTAACAATTTAAATCTTAATTAAAAATTTAATTTCATGTATAATAGATATTTATTCTACATATTATCAGTGATATCCCGACTCTCAGTGGTGATACCTTTTGTAAATGAGTCTTTAGTATCGATTAATGAGTTCACAATATTTTTTTGAGAATATTCCCTGAAAGATGTGATAATGTTGATAATGAACTACAATATTATCTATACTTTACAATATTGATTTTGATTATTATATAGAATTCGCCTCAAACTTAAATCTCTCATTTATGTTTATTTGTATAAAAATATTATTGTGATCCTCCAGTAATAGTGTATAGATAATACCTGATCAGGTTAGACTTATAAAAATTAAAAAGTTCTGAAGAAAGTGAAATAGTTTTATTTAAATAATTCAGTAATAAAAGTTATATTATATATCTCTATTTAAAAATTGAAGAAACCACGATATATAATTTTATCTTTCCGTATTTTTTTCTTTCAGAGTTGTAAAAAAAAGCATTAAATTTGAAAATTGGCATCACTTTTTAAATATGTTGAATGCCTTCAACTTAAATAAAAGAAAACAAAATGAATAATAGAAAAGCAATGGTAAGCAATTTTATCTTAAATATGCATTTAAATTAATTAATTTATTTATGTATTTGATTTCATTAGTGAATTAAATTATTATGTGATTTTAACGGATGCCTGGAATTTTGCAACATAATAACTGGAATTTTCCAATGAACATTCACACTAGATTGATTTTTGAATTTGACTGCACTGAAACTTAAGACTTAAAATTTTTGCGAGTAGAACCTAACTATGAAGATTTTAAGAGCATTTGTTGTTGCTTCACATATTTTCTTTCGTGAATTGAGAGTATTTTTTTGCTACTTTGCAAGAAAAAATAACGGCTAATATCAAATAAATTATTTTTTATATTTTTGTATAATT